AAATTTCTTTCCACAACGTACCGCCCACGCCCTGGTTTGTTCCGAGTGAATATAGAATGGCCCTCGTCATCACCCACGGCCGCATGGAAGAGGTGTACTTTATCGGGGGGCACATGACTGGCGACAAGCTCTCCTACCTTCCGGGGATGGAGCGGGGCAATCGCTTGGGTAAAATAAAACGTTTCATCAACGAAGCATGGAGGGGTGTGTGCGGCGCCCAAGGGATATGAATATTCCCTACAGAACGTAAAGAGTGCAGTTGGTCGGGTGGACAGCCGCATTGGTGTACCAACATGACTGGTCGCTTCCCAAACGGTCTGGTCGACTCCATGGGCTCGGTCTTGAAAGGTTGTTAAAAACAAGTAAGAGGGCATCAGTAGATGTAATTAGGTTCTACCATTCCAAACTCGAAAATGGTGGCTTGTAACGAGGCGTTCGAGAATGATCCTTGTGCATCGTTACATGTACCTAAAATGCTTGCACCATGTTCGTTTGCGGTGACCACCGTCGAGCAAGGATGTTTTGTTTCAAGGCTAGCCACAACGCACAAGACATTTGCTTCCCCAACGGCGGTCCTCTGGTTGCGTTATTCAGACACGAATCTCTAGCGACCTATTCAATCAATGGGCGCTCCGAAACCGCTTTCAAGGTAGGCCCGGGGGGGTGGGGGGGGGTGTACTCATATTCGTGTATGCCGTAGTCGTTAGACCATTGACCTCGCATCCCTACAAAGCCGGGACGGAGCACGCCGGGTTCTCACCGGACCAGGCTCTCACATGACCAAGCGCGAAGCGCCATGAGATACTCGGCGAGTCGCATGAAGGGTGCGCTGCATCCTGCTAAGGGGTTTTCGGCATCTTGTGCTTACTTCCTTGCGTACGGATGACAGCTGCGTATGACTTAATTTTCTTTCTGGTGCTTTCACTTCCAGAGACAGTTGTAAGCACGATGTAACTGCCTCTAGGGGTGCTTGACCATTTTAACACAACGTGGTGCGATCATCCCCCTTGCGCGGAGGGAGGGTTCTCCACCCCGCACAACATGATCCACTCGACCACCACTCACTATGGTTACCGCAAAAAAAAAAAACGGAGGTAAAAAAAAAAAAAGGAAACCTGGTTGCCGAGTTTACGAAGTGAATTGGCTTGTTTTACAACGTCGTTGCCAAGCGACGAAAACCCAACCCCGATGGCAAACACCCAAGGTAGGCCCGGGTGTGCTTTTTTGTTTCCACGCAAGATATGCATATAGGTCAAATCGACGTTGCCATAATAAAGAAAACAAAACAAGTTGGAATTTCGCACCACCTTGACCGTATTCATGCTTGCCACGAAAGGTAGCCGGTACGGGGAATTAGGGCGGTAGCATGCGGGGCGAACTCGGGGAGAGCTCTCACAACATGTTTTTCGCTCGCTTGCAGTTGTTTGAACATGCCTTTTTTCCTCGTTCGCTGCTTTCGAGCGACGGGCGGAGTTGACAACAAGCCCGGCTTGACACCGGCAGCAAGAAACCGGGTTTACCCCGAGCCTTTGGAACGTCGGAGGTAAGGGCCGCCTGCCGGTGTGGGTTTCGACGGTGGCATTGTTTTGCTCTGCTTTTTTCCCGTCCTCAAGCGAGACAAATGTACACACAAAAATACAGAGGTGCACCTTTGAGTGGATTTCACCCATTGTCCTAACCCTGATTCGCTGTCACAAGTCGGCAACGCGAACCACCATAACCGAACAATCTCTTTTCATTCCCGCAAACGCTTTCCTTGCGCCGAGGTGACTCTGAATACCGGAAGGCGGAAGCCCTCGGTGCCCATTGTTAAAAACGCGAATCCCGTCCGCAGGAACAATTCTTTCACCATGTTCGTTTTCAGTGGCCACCGCCGACCAAGGATTGTATTGTGTTTAGGTTAGTCACCACGCGTCGTTCAGACAAGAATCTCTAGCGAGGTTTTCAATTAATCGGCGCACGGAAATTGCTTACGGGGCAGGCGCGGGCGGTGTTTTTTTTTTTCCAAGCAGGTGAAGTTGACGTTGCCATCTCACAATAAATCACAACAACGTGGAGTCTCAGACCACCCGGGTCGTATTCGTCCTTGCCACAAAAAGCACCACATTCGGCCTGAGAGCAACCGATTTGGGGTGGCATGCTCTCCGACATAGACCACACCACGCAGATCGTTTTTTTGTTTTTTCTCATCCGTCATCTTTGACAGTTGCATGAATTAATGTTGGACGCAACGTTATTCATGAGGAGAGCATCGTGCATTAAGATTACGTTGAACCTTTTCGGGAGGTGCGTTGAATAATGCGTCGAAGCCAAAGAACAAATAAAGAAGAGCATCGTGCATTAAGATTACGTTGAACCTTTTTGGGAGTTGCGTTGAATAATGCGTCGAAGCCAAAGGACAAATAACGAAACCGCATGTGGCTTCCCCTTCTCTGTTGGTCTGTTGTCGCTGCATTACGTGCTTAGCGTGCTACGGCATCACAGCGAAGGGCACCGCCTTGATGCGACACCGACCACATGACACCAGCAATAGACGCGGCCACTTGTCGAACTTGCTGCGAGTATCGGACGACGGGGAAAATAGCACCGCTACACCCATTTATTTATAATCTAGACTATACCTTGTCATGTTTTGCTGTCCTACAGAGAAGTATAACCCTCGACAAGTTCACAGGTACACTCCGTCTACGTGTTGGTGATGCTATAGCTTTCATCAATCGCACAAGACTACACAATTAAGTTGTGCAAGCGGTACAAGATTGCGCAAACGGCGGCGCTCATCGAGGTGTGCCTATCGTCTCGTTCGAGCAGAGTAGATTTCTGATGTTGAGAATCATCTACGCGGTGTTAGTCGATGTTCTTGAGCGCAAAATACACACATCCCTGTGTACACGTAGTGCCTGGGTGAACGGGCTGACGTGAAATTTCTCCTCCAAGCGCGGTGGGCTCGAGCTCGTCTACGTATAAATATTTTTTTCAACCACGTATTTCCCACTGCCTGTACAACTAGTATCGGTGGCGCTCAATATGCTGGTTGTACAAACATCAACGTGAATATCAGGCCACACATCCTGTTGGTGCTTAGCGAAGCGCGGCATGAAACAATGAAACAATACGAAATCCCTCCACATTGTAATTTTTTTTAGTTTCACCAAGAAAGGCGGGTGCGAATAAGGGCGACGGGGCACCAACACCAGGCGGCAACCTCCGAGTCACTCACAGCTACTTACCCCGAGTACTTACCGACAACAACAAAAAACGGAGTACACACCTCCAACCGATATGTTCGTGTGTGCCCAAAGATCAACTGTGACATGTGAACGCTTGCGAGTCGAGGGACACGCACCAATGCTTTCTTCCGTATGTACATGCGGGCACGCGTGGATGTTTAGAACTGGTGAAAGAGCTTCCTCCGTTTCTATGCAAAAATATTGTACGATACAACCATGTTCTCAGAATCTTGACGTCAACCACACGTTGGCATGCAACGTTCGATCCGCACAGCCTACAGTATCCATGGTGACCGTGTAGAGCACCGTCAAACGACAAATATTTCTTGCTGCCAGCAGCCGAACAACGGGAAAGAGTCACTACTACTGCTGTATCATGTTCTTCACTGCCCCCTGAAACTATCACACCAAACCTTTCCGACACGGCTGGGCTTTCCGACGCATATCCTCCAGGCATGCAGATCGTGGCCCGCCACCTTGTCCTCACCGCCCTCATTCTGTTGGGTGTTCCGGCTGGGAGCGTTGGGAGGAGCATGCCAACGCCCCAAGATTTGGCAAGGTCGACAGCGGCATCATCTCCAGAGACTGCTGTGATCCACTCTTCAATGCGCGATATTGCAGCCGGCACGTCGTTGACAGCCACAGGATCCTCCTCGTCGGGAAAAAACACTTGGCGCCACCCACTAGATTCAATCGACCTCAACGCCACCCCTCCTCCAACCAGGTCAGCTATTGTGCAGCAGTACTGCGTGCTCGTAACCTGTGTCTCTCGCACGTGACGAATTACGGCCATAGCCAAACTTTCCTCTCAGTGCTGAAATCGTCTAGCAGACTTTGGCCTGTGTCTCATTCTTGGCTGGGACACATGCACGGACGAGTATAGCCTATGCCGCTCATGTTTGAAGACTGCAGGGCGTAGGGCGTGATGACAGAAGCACGTCGACAACTAGGATAAAGTGAGACCGCCGGCCGCGCGGACGCCACTCAACAGGAACGAGGTACAATACATGTAGTCCCACGCCATCACGCTTACTCTTTCAAACAACGAGAGCGGCAACCACGCGGTCCCGTGTCGTCCACGTTGTTCTTGGCTGCACCAATGCCATGAGTAATCCATATTGTGAAATACATGCTAGGGTCAGACTCGTGCGCGGACGCGTGTGCACGGCAGGCGTATGGGACTGTGACAACAGTGGCAGTCGCAAGTAACGGCTGTCAAAAGTACTTGTTCCCAATCTCACCCAGCCATATGGTACTTCTTTCAGCGCACAGAACATTCACTCCGACACATACTCTTAATTGAAGCAGACGGCCGGGGGACTTGCCGGACAAACTTGTAGCTGACCATCACGCTAAACGGATCTTGTTGCTAGTCTGCACGGAAATGGACGCAGCCCCACAGGCTACGCGAGGCTCACCTGCAGGATTGTTAAATTTTCGGTCTGGAAATTATCAACCATCCGCGCTACCTGTAGAGTATTTTCATAACGGTTTGGAAATATATTTTCATTTTCAGTTTCGAACCATCGACCAGCGACCTGGTCGCATTGACCCGTTAGAGAAGCATTTAGACCGAGCTTCGAATCGACGACCTATGTCTAGCGATCATAAAGTACTAGGGAGCTCCTCGGCCGAACAGGTCTCTAGCAACTGATACCTCAAACTACCCATGGGCTCTCCCTGTCGCAGGCCAAACCATCGCACTTATGTGGTTGTGGCAAATGTCGCCTCCGTGTGTGTGAACTCTGGTGTGCATGGTTGATCCTGGAAATGTTACATATTTTCAGCTCTGACAGTACGTTTAACAGCCCTCCATTTCACAATCCCCGATGCTGCCCCTCGATCTCGGTTTTCTTCAGTGTGGCAAGGAAATTTGAGCCCACCCAGAAGTTCAGGTTCAAAAATAATGTCAACAAACGTGTGGATAAAGTGCTGAGGATAGAGTGTAAAAAAGCGGCCAGGGCGTGCGGGAAGCCTGTCAACGACTTTATAACATTGGCGTCCAAGAGTGTCGTGTCTCACTTCGGTGGTCGACTGATCGAACAACATCCGTCTCCCTCAAGCACCGACAACGACAAGCCCGTTGAGGCCATCAGGGAAATCTGGTCTAATATTAATCAGCCCCACGTCGTAGCGACCTTGCCTGGATACAACGCGCGACGGACCATCCTTGGTGCGATCGCCTCCATCGATGTGAAATACTCGACCGCGTGCGAGTTCGTCGGAGGTTCTCTGAGCCGGGCTACATTCAACGAGGCAAAGGCACGGAGAGAGACGGCTCTCGCAGCCGGCGACATGTCGAAATTGTAAGTGCGTACAGCTTGTGCGACGGCCAGTGTGCCAAATCAACCTACTCGACCGAAGAGTACGTAAGACGTCACCGAAATATTACCACCTTCATTTCGGCGGGACGTCCTCCGCGATACATACCGGTCGATACGCTACGGTCGTGCTGTACCCGCTTTTCAGTGCAGTACCCGCATTTCTTACTAATCGATGGGTAACAAGCAGTCACATTTGCCACGTTCGTTCGCCTGTCCATACAGGTCAGGGAAGAGAAAGGAGAGGTCGGACAATTTGCAGGAAAAGTACCCAATGGCATGTAGCCGGGTGGAGCAGAGCATAGCCGAGCGCACCCAGCCTTCTCCGAACCTAACGAAGACGAACCATGACTACCGCCGGCGTGGGGATCATATTCGGTCTGACGCGGACAACTCTTTGGTCTGCGTCCATCGGGAGAAAGAAGTGCGAAACTCACCCGGTGTACTACATGACGGGGACCCGGGACCACCTGTTTCGCCAATGCATGGATGACCTACAAGCAGCTGTGCGTATATGCTATTAGTTGTGCATGTATATTTGTGGTTATATTGGGTATCCATGTACAGTTGTGATTCCACATCTGCAATCCAACTGAAGCTGGTATAGCACCCCGGAACACTTATGTTGAAGAATGACTTGTACGAGTCTCCATTGGCGTTCACTGCGGCATGGGTCGGTGGTATCACAGACCTCTCTGCAATAAATACTGCGACATGACTTATTGCGACAACAGTCTAATACCAGCTTCTGCCTCACATCAATCATTTCCGCGTACGTTCGGCGCCGCGCGACTCGCAGTTTGAAGCCGGAGCAGCTGAAGTGGGGTCTATTAGCCGAAGGTCTTTCGACAAGATGGTCCCCTTCTACGTGGTGGAGCAATCCCTACGATCCTGCCTCTGCGTCCACTACTACAGGGCCAAACTCATCACGGTTGCCCTGTGCCAACTGTGGTCAACCCTACACCATGGCGATACGTCGGATTCAGGCTGCACGTGCACCTGCGGGTTTTGCTCTGATGGAGCATGTCGAACCTTCCTGCCGTTCGCCACGGCGAAGTCGGTGCACGGCATGGGGGACCTGAGCGACCTGCTCCTGTGCGAAAAGGTCTTCCTCTACAGAGGCCAAGAGGGCAACGACGTCAAGGCACATAGATAGGTCGGCCTGTGTTTCAGGGCATTGCCCGACATGCCAGCGCAGGCAAGCGGCATTCTTCGGTTGTCCTCGTCATCACGGCAGTTAGTTCCGATCGACGTTTCCCTGCTTCTTCCGCTGCCTTGGGCGCCATCGCTAGCACCAGCGAAGGACAGGCAGGAAAGGTAAAGTGATCCATGTTCACTGCTGTGGATGCTGAAGGACGCCCAACGGACGCCCGCCGCCGCGCGGGACCGCAGCCAACCGACGACGATGACGGCGACTGGGCACCAAGAGTGGCGTCGGATTCATCTAGGCCGAAAAAGGTGAACGCCAGATATATCTTGCTAGTTCATTGTAACGTAGTCTCCGCGGGTCTCGTTAATCTTCTCCGGCGCTTCACCACTCGCTTCTTCTCCTCGGCTTTCCTGAGTTCGGCTGGCTGGTGTGGTTTGTGCAAATCTACTGCACCGGGTATCGCCTCCTCGGCCGATCAGCGGCGACGTCAAAATGATGTCTATTATATAATAGTAGGTATGTTTAGTGCAGACATACAGCAGCGGGTATCGCCTCCTCGGCCGATCAGCGGTCACGTGAAAATGACCGTTAGTAGGTGTGGTTAGTGCAGACATACGGCAACGGGTATCGCCTCCTCGGCCGACCAGCGGCCACGTGAAAATGACGGCTAGTAGGTGTGGTTTGTGCGGACATACGGCAGCGGGTATCGCCTCGTCGGCCGATCAGCGGCCACGTGAAAATGAGTTTGTTTCCCTAGTTTGTTGCCCCCAGGAACAATTCATGATCGCTTCTTTATCCAGTGCAACACGGGTGTGTCGACTACACAAGACGTTTCACTCAAAGCAGTCGCCTATATAGCAACTCGTTCAACTCTCGTTGTTTTCGATGGACAAGTGTGAGCACGTATAATTTCGACGACACATTCTTGCGAGATACACATATGCACGAGCTCGATGATGGCCCACCGAACGCTCGTCGATAGAGCAGCTGGTAGCGGGAACTGTCGAACTTGTCGTGGTTCTGAAGTACCCTCCCAGAATAACGGAAACAGCCAAACCCCACGTGTACAACTATGGTCCTCAGCGTGGATACGTACAGCACCAGGGCAACCCACGTCGATCTTCATTTCATGCCCCTAAATCCCGTCCGCCCAGGCCGTTGCTACGAAGACGGGGACAGTTGACGATTTCACCAAAGAATTCAGAGAAATATTCCGGCGATACACTTCTCACCGGCGGCAGTACCACACCCAACGGAGCGCATTCTGTTTTCGTCTTCGACTTCCAGGAGCAGCTTAAGCTTATGGAGCAGGACGAAGTACAATCGCAGCACTGGCAGCACGAACGTGTAACGATATTCCCCTGCCCTATTCACTGTAAGTGGAAGGGACGTGTGTGTGTGGGCCTACTCTTTCCAAGTGCTCAGCGACGATAGAACACAGGACAACGCGTGGGTGCAGCATGTCATGTTTAAGATTATGACGGAGCATGTCCCCGCCTTGATGCGGAAACTAGGCGCTCCCGCCATGGTCCGAGCGATTTTTTTTACAGATAACTGCGCGAAGCAGTTCAAGTGTAGGTTTCATTTCGGCTGGCTCGCTTCCCACGAGGTGATGATTCGCGATAACAACGGCGGGTCTACCAACGTGCCAGTGCATGTCGAGCATCACTACTTTGGGAGCTGCCACGGGAATAGCGGTTCTGATAGCGAGGGGGCGAACACCAAAAGCACCACAAGGCAAAACATCATCAACCAGACATGGGTAGTCCAGGGCCCCAGACACCTCTCTACCCTGCTGGGCGAATCGATGGACTTCATTCTTGAGGAGCCGACCGAAGAAGAAGAGATGATCTTTGAAGCTTCCAGGACAAGCAGCAGAGGTGGAGATCAGTTGCTGGTGACCAAGGTGAGTACAAGGGAGTTGTGTGGAATATGTTTGTATGAGGTTTGCACAATCAACAAGGGAAGAGCTTTCGTCATACGTTTCAACAGACTTGTATCATAGGGACAGAAGAAGGTACTGGGCAGAGAGAAACGCAACGTTTTTTTTCAAGCGTAAGACTATGTAGTCCGCAGACTATGTAGTACCCGACAACAATAACGACTACTTACAGCAACAGAGAAAACATGGCACGACCACCTACCTGTTAGAACGCTCGACCTGAGACCGACCACCTGTGATATCACTTTATGATTTGCACGTCAGGCGTGGGGGGGCGAAAGCAGATGCAAGGAGAGGAAGACTTTTCTGGCCACGAAGAGCCGAACACGCTCCTAGGCAGAAAGTACATCTTCCAAGCCGCAGGCGACATTCCGCCTGCAGTTCGTTCCGCCTCTCGCTCCGAATCGAAGGCGATCAAGGTCGAGGGATGCCAAGTCATCAGCAAAATCGTAGCCACCGAAACACCAGGCGTCGTGGCTACCTACACCCTGTCCTGCTTGTAAGTTTCACGACGGACCGTGGGTCTTCTGCTTGCCCGATGGGCTCTCTCGCCTAATATGACCCGTATGTAGGCTATCTACATTATTAGCTACTCGGTTTGGCAGGGAGCTATCTGCACAAGCCTGGTACCCTGCGTTAGCTCAGATTAACATGAAAAGCGTTTCTCACTTGGAAACTATTTTTTGGTATTTACACTGATCGGTCGATCAGCCGCGGCCCAAATTCCTGTATGTTCCGGTGAATAGTTGTTTTTGGTATTTACGCTTCTCGGTCGATTAGCCGCGGCCCAAAACTTCCTCTATGTTCTGTTGGTCAATGGGTGTTTTTTCGCTGATCGAAATGCATTTTCTGCTCATAGAAAGGTTTTTACGCTGATAGGAAAATAGACGCGACCCAAATTTCTATATGGTTTGCCGGGAAACAGTTGTTTTTGGGTATTTAAGCTGATCGGTAGATTAGCCGCGGCCCAAATCCCTGCATGTTCTACTGGTAAATATATTTTGGTATTTCCCGGTTGTCTGGCTGGCAAGTTTCACGACGGAAGAAGGGTCATTATTTCGCCCGATAATTGTGACACCCAAGACTTTTCTGAGTATCTGTGTATGTCTGTGTATTGAAGCTGGTCCGTCGAATAGCCCAAAGTCTGGTGGTCCTGCGTTCACTCGCTTGAAAATGATCGGGTAACAACTGTGACTTGATTTATTAGTGGGTAAATAGCTGTGACTTCACTTCTTCCGGAGCTAATTTGTCAAAAACTTACAATGTGGCCCCAATTTGGCGTCCTTCCCCTGCCGGATCTTGTTTCGATGTCCCACCCCCCTGCGTTGTTATCCGCCAGTTGTGAACTCTGCAGAAAAGGAGAAACGGAGAAGTGCAACCTGTTCCGCGAAGGCATCATGGAGGCACCAGCAGAGTGGTCCCGGCGACGAAGCAACGACGACGAGGAGACCACAAAAGAGAGGGAGATGGAACTCATGTTCACTCGAATGAGGAACCCTCTACCATATGGATCAGTCGCCCTGATGCGTGTTCGCCCAGAAGAGTACCGAGGCCTGGACATAGTGCCAATTTTCATCGGTCGCAAGGCTCCGTCTGACTACAATAGTAGCTTTGCGAAGGATGGCATGTTTTCGGAAGGCGATGTTATGGTGTGGATTCACGACGTCTTCAGCCACGTACGGGGCGTAGAGTACGACGTGCCAAATGTTCTTCCAGTCGACGAAAACAGAGCGGTCCCGCTAGCCTCTCTAGCAGGGCTCGGCCAGGGATTAGAGGGGTACATGGAGGAAGTGTCCAGAGCCTCAAGGACAAGTTCGACCAGATGATATCGCATGCGGCGTGGCGTTGTAGAGAGTGCTCGCTCCAACCTGGTCGTCATGTCAAAGCGCCCACAAGATGCTTTCCTCGATTGCCGTCCCGCAAAACTGCGAAAAACTGACCGCAGGCGGGCTCACGTCCAGCCTAGCCTTTTTGAAGCGGGTGCAATAGTGGAGAAAGGGTTCAAAGCTCCACCGCAGGGGAGGGATACAGCGTGGAGAGGTTTGAGAGTGATTCAGGCAAAGGTTGTCGACGTAACTACGTCCCCCGAAGAACGACGCCATCGCTTTGAGCTACAGTGGATTGGAGATTCACGAGTTCTGACATTGGCTGCCGTTCCGCGTAATGTCGATGAAGGTTACCTCGAGCGCTGCGAACGGTTGTCGTCCTAGTCGAGTTGATGATAGACTAAATGAGATGTCCACCGAGTTACCTGCGAACTGCACGCACCTGTCTCCTGTGTGCACGGTTGTGGCAGGATGAGCGCTTGCGTAGTCATAATCGGGGCTGCAGTCGAGGATACAGTTTAAACGAGCTTGGAGTACAGAGTAGTCTTCCTTATAAAATGAAATATTGAAGTAGCTCCTCGGTCGATCAGGAACAGTTGGGCTCTATTTTCGTTTAGCTCTTGAACAGTGTTGCTCGTTCTGTAGGATGTAGCCTCGATGCGTTGGCCGCCATATTTCACACGTCACGTGCATAGGAGATTCCTAGACGGTTGAGTGAGGCCTGTGAGGTGACATTGGTGGCATGTGTATTGATTGCCGGACGGTCGAGTGAGGGTAGGGTTGTCGTGGGATATTCAGTGGTGTCATGTGTATGCAGCTTCAATGATTGTGTACCCTCGAAGGGTACCCTCGAAGTAGTCGGTGTTTCAGTTCTTTATCCACGCCTTAATTTCACACGTCTCGTGCATAGGGTCGCTACCCCCGTAGGATGCGTGATGGTAGTGCTACAAGGTGCTACAAGATGAAGTCGTTTAACTGTAGAAATGTGATCAATCCTCATCCGCAAGAAGATTATTCTTGTCTTTACTTCAACAAGATCGTCGGTGCTTCATGGAGACTGACATGTTAACAGACCACTCGGCGATCAAACCACACGTTTTGGTGGTGTGCGATAGTTTGCGTCGACCAGTTTCTTGCATAGCGGGCAGAATAGCGTAGAGCAGCTACTCGTCGTCAAGTAGCAGTAACCGTGCCTATTACATGGCAATTGACACGGGCATCGAAGCGGCAGTTTAATATGGGCCCAAAAACGTTACCCCCCTACCGTAGCATGGTTCTGCATGAAGGCGAAGGGCAAGAGGGCGTCGGTGCCGAAGGGGCCGGGAGCGCGGGCGTCGAAGCCACTGGGGTTTGTTCACCTGGGCCTGTGTGGACCGTTGGCGCCTTCCCTGGGCGGCAACCTCTACCTGTTCGTCGCGCTCGACAGCGTCTCGCGGTGGAACAAGGTCTACGGTCTCCGGCGGAAGTCCGACGCGCTGGCGGCTACGAAACGGCTGCTGGCGGACGTGGGGCGGTACGACCTCGGCCGCATCGAGTGCTTCCAGATCGATAACGGCACCGAGTGGACCCGGGGCGAGTTTCGGCGTTTCTGCGATGACAACGGCATCGGCGTCGAGTTCATCCCGCCTGGCGTCCCGCAGTAAAACGGCGTCGTCGAGAGCGCCATCTGGCGCATCATGAAGGCCGGCATGGCCGCTCGCCGCAGCGCTGGCCGTGTGCTCAACGTCGACTACGCCTCCATCACCGGCCTCGACCCGAGCGGTGACCGTCTTTGGTTGGAATCTGCGAAGTGGGCCGCCGACGCTCTCAACCAGTCGGCGGCCAAGGCCAACCCCGGGCGTCGTTCTCCG